ATCTTGCGTTTCGCAGGCTAGCTCTGCGAAGATTCTCCCGCCAAAGTGAATCCTGTTCCCAAGGATCGACAACGTTGAAATCATTGCCCGTCAAAGTTTGCGTACAGTGTTGTTGTTCCGTGAGATTCGACGGATTCAGTGTACTACTACGTTCGATTGCTTGCCTGGTAGACAAAGCCAGCAAACGATTAGCACGGTTTCGTTGTTCGACCAAATCCTGAAGACCAGCGTCGTCCAAAAGTCCTTCCAGGGATCTGGATCTTCGATGAGAAGCTTGAGCCAAAAGAGACGAGTCTTCGGTCGGCTCGTCACTAGGTGCATTCGTACTCCTCCCATTATTGTCCTCACTTTTATCCCGTAAACCATGAGGATAAAGATTTCTCGCATTGATTTCCGGCAAAGGATCGGTCGATTTGACTCTACGAAGAGTGTCGGCCTCGTAGAAATTTCTTTTATCGACCAAATCCGCTTTGGTGTCGCCCAACAATTGGCAAGTCGTTTTCCTCAGTTCGGCTGCTATGCGTCTAGCCTCGTCGATATCTTCGACTTGGATTTGTCTAGGCATAGGCCTAGCTATTGGATTGATTATGCGACCTATATCGTTCCTCTTGTTCATCCCCGAGGCACCGTCTCTTTGGTTATTTAATTGGGGTAGTCTCGAGACGTGACCACCGTGAACGATCGGTTGTTTGTCCTTGGAAGCACTTCCTGAGCTACCACGAAGGTCTGAGTAATAATACGGAGCCCCGGTTTGATCGCTTTGAACGCGTTGCTCGGAACCGTTTAAGAACGACAAATACGACGGCTGGGATTTCTGATCAGAATTGGAAGGTGAGCTGCGATTTAGCAAAACGTTGGGATAACGATTCGATGCCAAGTGGTTGTTGTTGTCGCTCGGTGACAAGTTTGAATTGAGATCGGTGCTTTCGCGGTTTTCCAAAGATCTGCCAAGATCTTCCGCGAGGACAATTCTGTCCTCCCGCGAGGAGAATTGTTGTTCGCTGTCCGAACGAACGCAAGGCGAATGTCTCAATGGGGAAAAACTCGAAATATTTTCGTAATGAGCGTCCCCCGTGTAGGATTGCGAGTGCTGATGGGAGGGGGTCGGTGGGACGTCGCAAACTCTCATAGACGGCAAACTACTGGCCGAACCGATTTTGTTTCTGGTGTCGTAACGAAGAGGTTGACCGAAATTCAGGATACTCCTTTTTCTCGCTAGATCTTGACAAGTCGTCTTTTGCAATTTGTCCACCACCAACATGTTCTCGTTGAAACCGTAAATACTGTTGTAACTCAAATCCTTGGCGTATAGATCGACGTTGAATGCATCCCGAGCTTGCAATTCTTCAAGATATCGATCGAGATCGATACTGGTACCACCAGCAGCACCGTCACCGCCAGCCCCGACCTCGAAACGACTCCCGAGAGATTCCAATTCGTCTAGACTGTCCAAAACTTCGCAAAGTTCGTCGCTGACCGGCCTCCTCTTCAGTCGTCTGTGCCTAGCTGCCCGTTCTTCGGGATTTCTGAGTTCGACCGTGACCGAATCGCTTCCGCTGGCACTCTCCAAGGATATCCTACTGCCTCGGAAAGTAGAACCGGATATTTCTCCGGAAATTTCGGAAAATCTAGAGGGTGATCTTTGATCCCTGTCTCCGTGATCCAATCTGCTGTTCCATGATTTCGGAGAGTTCACGCTCGAGACATTTTCCTTCCTGACGGTCAGCCGAGGTGGCGATACCTTTTTCATTTCCAACGAGTCTTGCAAACTGTCCAGATCTTCCAAAGGTGGCGGGGAAGTTGGTATGGGTGGCGGGGAAACTAATTCGCTGTCGGAGGAATCGTGTAATTCGGCGATCATGGTTCGACTTGCACCTAAATAATAGGATGCAGGTCGGAAAGTATCGGAGAGACTGAATCTGGGATGTCTCGGGGCGTCAATCGAATCGAAATCCTTCGAGGATTCGTCGTCGGCATCTGAACTGTCCGATTTCAGGGCCGTCAAAATATCCGGAAGATCCGATCTACCTGAAATACGTCCACCCGAGTCTTCGTTCTTCCTACGTTTCGACGTTTTCGACAACGTTTTCTCATCGTCTTTATCATCTTTGTCTTCCTTTTCCGATAACTGGGTAACCTCCATGTAAACGGGCTCCATCTTGCTGTCGGAAACGCAAACGAACTCGTAATGGGAAGCGTCCAACGTCGAATAATCGCCGGAATCGCGATCGTTCGATTCCTTGCCCGGAGCCAACAACGAATGGTTCCCATTGTTCTGTGCCATCTCGACGTACGAACTCTCCTCGTGTTCTAGATTCGCGAACAGACTCTCCATCATTTTCGGATTAGGACTGTCATCGTCGTTCGGATCCAGAATGGCTTTTCTAGGTGACATCGGGAGGTAATGTTCTTCGGGTGTTGGATCTTCCTGTTGCTTCGGTAGCTGATTCGTGATAGTGCTAGAATTTTCATCTTGGATGATAAGTTCTTGGCTCAATTCGGAATCGCATGGGGATTTACTGCTCCTCTTTTGTCTCCCCTGTGATCCCTTCTTCTTCCTCATCGTGCCCAAATAAGTTTCGACTTTGTTCTCCGACGTTTGTTCGGTTCTTTCCTCGCTCTTATCCCGCTGTTCAAAATCGCTCCCGGTGTCGTAAAGTAAAGTTTCCGTGTCGCTGAAAACCCCACGATGCAAAACTTGCGAACGTTTGTCGCGTTCCTCCAATTGACGAACCTGTTGAGACTTCCTTTCGAAATCTGCCAATAAATCTTTAACCGATTTATTACTATCGGTGGAAGCTTGCTTCACGTGTCCACCATTCTTTACTGGCGAGATATTAGACTCATCTTCGATTCCTTTATCCCCCAAAGCAAAACTGCGAATAATCGAAGATATCTTTTTCGACGAATCTAACCTCGAAACGTGTGCTTCTGATGTTTCAACTGGCGATGCTTTCAATGCTTCTTGCATGGTCAACATTTCTTTAACCGGACTTTCGTCACTTTCCACGTTAGATTCGAACGATCTTATCCTAGACCGAACGAGATTCGTACTTTCCATTTTATTCGTCAAGCCCTCGTCCACTTTTCCACAAGCTTGCTGTTCAGCTTGTATATATTGATAAGAAAACTCTTTGATAAGTTTACTCTCGTCGATATTAGAATCCCATTCCTCCTTATCTTCATTGGAATTCCACTGAACTGTCTTATGAAGGGAAGACCAGGTTTCAGTGGGAACGTAATCGTTCGAATAACCACTTTCAACGTTGTCCATTGTAATTGATTGTTCCTCGACACCGTACAAGCTAGATGACTTTAATATACCAGCCGGTTTTTTCGGTAACGGGTTCTGATGATGCTTGTGTCTGGGTTCGTTGAATAGCGTGCCACTTTCTAGATCATCCTCAGCATTCCTATCGGATTTGATATTTTCCGAGCCGACAAAGTACGACGAGTCGGAAGGGGAAAAACTAACCTCTTCGTAGCCCGCGTCTGGTGGTATGCTCGACAAATTGCTCTTGATGGAAGAAGATAGAAGATTAGGCGTTAAGTTTGTATCGTTGTTAGATCGAATTAACTGCGTCGTCGATGAATTAGCTGGAACGTTCGTACGTACGCTTCCTTGTATCATCATCTTGCTATTCTCTTGGGTAGTTGTTGCCGTTGATAAACGATCGTCACCGACATGTCGGGGGCTCCTTCCTGCATGCGAGGGCCTGCGCGTACGTTTTCTTCTAACATCTCCCATCTCTGAATTGTCCGTTACAAAAAAAAAAAACAAACAAACACACGAACGCATGAAGATCTTATTTATTCTTTTGTGGGTTTTTTTTTGTTTCAGGTTAGACCCCAAATCTTTTTTCCACAAACAAACCCGCGAACGAAATATCTCTCGAGAAAGCAGGGTTAACGAAGCCTTTTCCCCCATTTGCGAACAATTGTCTCGAGATATCATTGCAATACTATTATTATTATTATATTATCAAGTTAATGTTAATTGATTACAAATGAATCGCTGAATTGCAATGATTCCCGTACAATCGTTTCGAAAAATGCTCGTTAAACTTGCAACACACTCGTGGACAACTTTCGATGCGAGAATCAGCGAATACATTGGTGTTAGTCAATTCCTCTCTCGCATGCCCATGCCAATCAAAATCCAATAAAGTGTTAAAAGGCATCAAGATAATTAGAGAAATATAAATACAATATAATTATTATAGATATTACACGGATAGAGAGGGAACGAGTTTAAATGGTGTAGTGTTAATTTGTTAATCTTTCCCATTAACCATTCACCGTTTACCATTCACCAACAACGAGTCCTGGCTTAGCAAAGACTTTAGCAAAGAAGGAGCCCCGCGGACCGAAAGGATATGCCTTAGCTTTCTGTTTTGTGTTCTATCCGAACCTTCCAGGATCCGTGTATGATGTTAGCCTAATTTCGTGCTTTTGTAAAGAGGACACGCATTTACTATCGATAAGGATAAAAAAAAAAGAAGGCAATAATGGTAGGTTATGGGATTATCAATCGAATAAAAAAACAATAAAAATCTAAACGGGTTCTTTTTTCGCAAAATAATTATACACACTTTAGGATTACGTAATTAGTAAATACGAGAATTTGTTGTTTTTGAAAGAAGCTCGTTGTTGTATACGATGATAGCTGAGAACAACGCAGCTTCGAAAACAATGGGCTAATAATAGCTTTGAGATTCCACTCTCGCCTCTCGTTCAGTTCAAAAAACGAGTAATAAGTGTGTGTATGTGTGTGCGTGGTTAAAGCAATTAAATAATATGAGTGTTAGATAATCTGCAGATAATCTTAGCGCGCAATACTATCTATTTATAAATAATATTTTAGCAAAGTAATCGATAAACCAGCCAATTGCAACGTACTCGAGGGAGAATCATTGTTCAAAATTTCGATCGTGTCACTCGATACGTCGACAAATGACGGGGTAACGATCAAATAATAAGTTCTGGAGAATCGTCCCTACCTTCGTCGTCGCTCGAATAACTGTTGTATCGTGAGACGGAAGTAACAGTTCTGCGACCATCGGAACTTTTGCTTCTGATATGCGACCTGTGCCCGTCTTCTTTTCTCCGTGAATGACGTGAAGCTTCAGTTACCGAAGCTTCGTGAGCTGCCAGGTCCAAGAGTGCTTGCTGTTTATAATAATTCGATAACTCGTTTTGTGCTCTGGTACGGTTCATCGATCCGGATGGTTTACGCGTTAACGGTGACTGCAGCATGCGTTGTTTCCATTCCAATAAACGTTTCATCGATTCTTCTCGCTGTAACGTTAAACGTCAATTATTAAATCTTGCTTCTTTTTTTTGTTTTCCATTTTCAATTAATAAAAAGGGGTAATGACAAACAACCTGTTGAATTTTTCGTTCACCATCGCGAGTCTCCTGTTCCACTGAAGATCGTCCACCGTAATCGTCATCGTCCTCATCCAAAGCACCAGGGTGTCGAGATCTTGGCAAACGTGCCGACGCTGATCTATAAAATTGCTGTTGTTGTTGCTGTTGCTGTTGTTCGGCCCATCGTTTGGTGGGTCCACCACTGTGCGCCGATTGTATCATGGTAAGCCCATAATTCGAGTGACAGACAGATTTGTTCCAATTCGTCGACGATTCGTATTCCCGTGTCATTGAGTTGCGAGAACACGATTCGTAAACCTTTTCCCGTAAGGATCTTCTCAACTTGGCATCGTTGTTGGACAATCTAGGATACACGTGCAACAAACGCATTCGTTTAATTACGTTACCCTATCATTATTCGGACATTAGATTGTTGATAACGTAACTCACTCGTTATGTCTTTGCAATGTTTGAGTAGATATGTTATGTTGATGTTGATGAGCATGTTCCCGTTGCAAACGTCTCAAGGTAGAACAAGACGAATCGGGTAAAGTGGCCATTCTGATATCACCGTTGTTTCTATCGTGAACCGATGGTAATTTTGACGGCGCGGTGGCTCGCGATAACGACTGGTTTCTTTGTTGTTGATGATGTTGAGGAGTTTGATGTAGATAAACAGCGGATTGACGCATTTGCGCTGCGTATCTGTTTGAAACAATGTTCGTTTCGTAACGTAATCAAAAGATTTTTTATTTAATTAATCGTACCAACCTTTCTTCGGAATAATAATAGCCGTCGTTGGTCGCATCCGTTGGATTCATTATATCCAAACTGGACTTAGGCCTTTGGGGCCGTTTTTGTTGGCTCGAGGAACTTTCGTTTTGCACGGGGTTTTGTTGCTGAGGTCGTCTCGTTGCTTCGTATTCGAGAAAATCGGCACTGTGGGGTCGCGGTGGTGGTAGTTGGTGAGCTATTGGTTGTCTTATTATGGGAACTGAAAAGAAAAATGTTCAGTTATATGCATCGCAAGATAAACGATAAGAAGATTTAATGGAAAGGAGTCGGGTACCATTGGGTGGCGTGACTGGCGAATGAAGTTGTTGCTGCTGTTGCATTTGCTGATGTTGAGCATAGGTGGGAATAGATATAGGTGCTGGTGCAGTTGCTTTGGTGTATCCAATGACTGGTCCAGCTGGTCTCTGATAAAGTTGAGGTATACCATAGACTTCTTCGTAGTCACCGTTTCCTCGGTTCGGTCTGGAAGGCTTCGCGCTTCTTCCATAAGTGTCCGGCGTACGTCTTTCGGTCGATTGTCCTTGACAATAACCATAATTTAGACCAGACTTGTCTGTCCTTAAGCTCTGTTGCGACGGCTGACTCATTCCAGTAGCATAAATAACGCTGTTCCTATCGTAATCGGATATGGGACTTTTGCTGGTTAAGGTAACGTCTGGCGAGACTGGAGATCTTCGAAAAACTGGCTCAGGCGAGGGTGTGGAATACTCGTTGGATCCGTCGGTTAACCTCCTAGGTTTCGGTGGTGCATTCGCGTATATAGGCTGACCAAATTTTCTAGGCGTTGATTGACCCGCTTGCACGTATATCAGACCAGGATGCGTCTGTGGTTGCTGTTGTTGCTGCTGCTGTTGCTTGTGTTGATAAACCTGAGAGATATTTTGATGCGCTTGATGCAACATCGCTTGATGCTGATGAGAGTGACCTTGTTGTAGTTGCTGAGAAACTGAATGTTCGGTGAAACAGTATTGCGGATGTTGATGTTGCGACGAACTGGATTGACCATATTGAGGTGATTGTTGGAGCCAACCATTGGCTACTTGCTGAACTTCTTTTAGATTGTTGTTGTTGGTGTTGTTAGAAGAAGCGGCATTTCCGTTACCGTTGCTCCCGCTAAGATTAGGAAAGGAGGCAGTGTTGACGCTGTTAGGACTGGAATTGTTGTTTGACGCGTGACTAGGATCGTCCCTCGAGAGAAATCCGTGAAAACCTGAGTCGCTGTCGTCGGCACTTTGATTCAATACGGATGAAATCGAAGAGACGCTTGGCCTGGCGCTTCGTTCCCCATCCGGTTGTCCTCCTAATTCGATGTCCTCTACAGCCTCGCCCCTTCCGCTAACAACGTAAACGTCCAATTAGGTTTCTAATCGTTAACAGTCTAAAGTATTGCCATATTTTTCCTACTCCTATCTCGACCTATTCATTCAATCCCATCGTGCTTTGGCAAAGTTGTCACAGAAATAGGGGTGCTTTCAGTAGGAACTTTGTCGAATTTAACTGACCTTGCTGACCGAGCTGCTTCGAATACGAATAATTAGACGAGTACCTGAACGAACTTTCTCTTGCCGAACCCCAGTCGGATTTACCGAAGCAAACTTTGTCGAACTACTAACTAACGAGTCAGACAGTTACATCGCAATTAACTGGGAACGAGGGAACTACTAGAAATATCCTAAATTATTGCAACAGAGGGAGTTCGTAGGAATGAACAGTGACATAAGTTCTGCTATGAATAATGGTGTATGGTGTATTAGTTTGATGAAAACTGTCTTAACAAAAGTATACTCACGGACTGGGATCCTGCAGAAGGGTCGCCAGAGTTAACGCGTTTACCCATTGATTCATGCTTTCACGATTCTCAGCTGCAAAGTGGTAAGTCCTCATGTTCGCGTGTTCAGCCTTGAAAGCGAACTTCCTGTTGACCTTGTCTTCGGGTCTGCAAATGGTAACCCTATACGAAGGCAAGAGTATCGACCCCAGGAGTTTCTCTTCTTCTGGACCTACGGCGAGGTTCAAATATAGATATCGATCACGCGAAATCAACCTGAATCTGAAGAATGTGGGATTCAAATTGGGAATGGGAGAAATGAAAGTTTCCTGCTATCTTACTCGTAACGTTTGTGTCAAATTGCGAAAACGGTGAGAAGAAAAAAAAATAAGAGGGAGAAAGAATTTCATTCGACGCGTGTGATTTTGTATTCGGGTATATGCAAATAGAAGGATCATACGTTAAAACCGAAAAGGGAACTGGATAGGAACGCGAGAGGACCTCTCCGTAATATTCTTTTTCTCCCCTACTTTGATAAAATGAAATAAAAAGAAAAGTTGAAAATTACGGTCCGAGAGGTTTGGACGTCAAATGAATCTAGGAGAGGGGTTTTTCAACCTAACCATCTCTTACCGGCAAATATTTGATCCTACTTCGTGGCGGTTCTTACTGCGAAGAAAAAGGAAAAGAGGCTTCTCGAAAAACTCGATGGAAAAGAACTTTATTCGTTAACGTTTCGACGATAACGGTAAATACGGTTTTTATCGTTGCGCGTTTATTGTTTCGGTTATGTCTCAAGATAAAATAATCAAATTGTTCATTCCGAAAAGATATAGAACGATACGGTTTTACTCGTGAAGAACTTGAATAGAAGTGGAAGCAAAGTTGATTAGATCAGGGAATTAATTGTTGGTCAAATTGGATAGATACTTCTCATCTTTTTGAGAGGATCGTAAACGCCCCCGTTAATTAAGACTAGTCTTCATCTAATCTAATCAAACTAAATTTAATAACATCTTCCACAGACTTATCCTCGTCCAATCGTTATCGAAAAAAAGTTAACATTAATAAGTTAATATTCCCGGAAATTTCAAACTAATTAACAACAGACTACGTATAATTGTATTGAAAAATAGGATGAATACTTGACAAGGTGCGCTAACCTTTGTAGTAGAAGAGACAATACTCGGACAAGACGAACCAGCGTTTCTTCCAAAGCATGAGCCCTTCTGAACCTTGCTTGTGTAGCCAACCTTGTAGGTGGACCGGTGCCGATAGGGGTCTTTTCGCAGCGGGTGATCGCAATCCTTGGGGTCCGCTTCGTCGTCGGATTCCAGACACGGAAGCCGCCAAACCTGCAGCATCGTTGTTTTTGTTGCGCACCTGGCCGCTACCTACCGCTACGACTGCCGTTGTAGCTTGGACAATCTAACGAACAAAAAAAAAAACAAACGAAATACAATAAATCAAAAATAAAATTACGATTCAAGTTGATTAATCCTTTCGTTAGGAGTGTCGGATATATCCGGCACCTAACTAATTACTTGCGTTTACCAATAAAGGAATATCGTTTAACGTTGTTCTTATTTAACGCTTAGGAAAATGTTTTGATTTTCTGTGTGTCACGTTGAATAGAACGCTAGTACCGAAAGGGTCAACATACAAAGTCTCCTTCCCATTAAGCATTTAGAACGTGCAGCAAACTGCAGAGACATTGAATGAACGAAAGATCGACAAGCTTTGAAAACCCTGTAGGCGTTTTCAATGTTATTTGAAAGCAACCATATGTGCGATGGCGTAATCATATGGTCCTACACAACAGGACCATTGCTCTATGCTGCTTCTTTGCTTTACATAACGTCCCCCTATTATCCGCGTACCTAGTCTATAGGTAAATACGCGATTGGTCGAGCAACAAACGCGTGTTCAACATATGGACCCGTACCAATTTTCAATACCCTTTTCAGATCGCACGCGTACGATTTCCAACTTTCGTCAAGAAATACACGCTTAGATTTGATCTTCCTACAATTAGTCATTCTTTTTTCAATATTTTTTCTTCTTCTTACCTTTTTGCTGTCCATCCCGGGAGTCGATGTGGTCACCGGGTGTTCGAGCCTGAAACAAAAAATAAAACACGCGTCTGTTGTGTATATAAAAATAAATAAAATAATAATTAAGAATAAATGTTTTGAATATAGGTAACAGTCCACGCTAAATTTCAGTTTTTCGACTAACTTCATGCTGTTAATTTTTTCGAGTCGCTGTGCGCGCGCATCGTTAATACCGAATAACTTCATACTGTTACCAAAAGAAGTATAACTTCAAAAAGAACAGAGATACTATTGATAAATATACTTTTCTTCCTTTCACCCTATTGGACAACAAAGAATGTTATAAATAAACTATTTATGCACAAGAGGGGAGTTTTATCTAAGATGAGAAATAAAAAAGAAAAATTTGTAAGATCAGGCGTAATCGATGAGATCCCATTCTCGTTCATTCCAAACGAATAATTTTCATTCGAATTCGAAAGGGAATAAATAATGACCGGTACTTGATGAGGGGGAACGAAAAAAAAAAGAAAAGAAAAAAGAGGTAAAAAGAAAGAAGAAAGAAAATCGAATTTAGCGAGTTTGCTGGTCGCGTCCGTTCAAGTAGATTTTTCACTCCCGCTGGCTTGGAAAAGAAGTAGACGGTGGTGGTTCCTTTTTTTCAACTTAAAGTGCACATCAGCTTCGACCTTATTTTGCAACAATAGAACCTGCCTGCGAACGTGACTTAGTTTTTTTTTGCTTATTTTTTACGCTGATGCTATTGGAAAAATGCTAGCAGACTCTTCGACTTGGGCTCGTTTTAAAAGAGTTCAATCCATTTGGGAGAGTATCCAACCGAGTATCGTTTTGTTTTCAAGAACGTACAACAAAAAATCTAGATAAATGCTTAGTTTGACGTAGAAGAATAGAAGAAAATGGGAAGGAAATGAGAAGGATTAAAAAAGATCGGAAAATTGGATTTAAAAAGCCGGAAGAAATAATAATCCGAATATAATATTACAAAAGATCTTTATCACAAGGACCTATGAGAATAAGAAGAACAGATCAGATTGTAATAACATTCTTATTAAACGTTGAAAGTAAATTTAATTAAGAACATTAAATAATCCTTTCTACTAAGGCATTACCGTGTCTAATATCATTCGGAAAGGTTGGCTCATCGCAAATTTCCTTCTCTTATTATAGAAATTATCATCCTAAGGGAATCGACAAAAATGAAAACGTCCGAGTTGCGTCAGGGTGTTTTCGGCTAACGGAAAATCTATTTTACTTTCGTATCTTTGCTTTTTAACATCATTATTTTCCTATTATTTAGAAGAATAATTCATTGTTTTGCAAATATTCCCAAATAACTTTGTGCAGAAAAATTGATCATCATTTCTAAAATGATAGAGCGACAATAATGATCGGTTATTCGTAATGATCATTTTTCTAAGGTGAGAAGAAGATTATCGAAGGAAAAATGTGTCGCAATATTTTTTCTAGCTTGAAAAATAAAAAAACTAACGGTAAGAAGGAACCTTTGTGATCCTAACGTCGTCTCAATGTCGCTGGAAAAAGACAAACGATAAAACATTTTTCAAAGTCGCATGATCCCACCTACAATTGTCCTGTCTCTCTCTCATATGACGTTGATGTCCCTTTTTTCCTGACATTCGTGGTAGATCCATAACTCAAGTTAAACTCGAAAGAAAACGAGTAAACGACGATCTATCGGTGCAAACAAATGGAAAAATTCGAGATAGGGTTAACCAACAAAAAACCTGAACCTGGTGAGAAATATTTTGTCAAGTATGTATTTGATCGATCAAACTTGCCCATTAAAGAGGAAACAATTTCTTTCTACGGAAAGAAAAAGAAAAATAAAAAGTCAACCCTTTTCCCTATTTTAGCAATTTTCTTCATTCGTGAAAAATAGTATTAATAATAGTAATAGTAGTAGTAGGATATCTGTGTATTATTTTATCCCTCATTCCTTCTTTTTCTCTTTCATCTGTTGTCGAAGCTAGAGATACATTAAAGTTGAAATGATTTTTATCGAGGACCAATTAAAAATTGATTGAACTCAATTAGTTCATAAAATCGATCAGTTTTATATAAGTTGTCGAAAAATAAACGAGTAAGGATGGATCTTGCCTTAATTTATTTGATAAAATCAAGATAGGGGAAACATAACCTTAATCGAGAACGTATTGACCTAACCTCAAAGTGCTAACGAGTTTCAAGGATTTACATGGTAAACCATGGCTTTTCCTGCCTATGTACTAAAGTATTTACTAAAGCATATGCAGATACTCGTAGATCGGTTGTTTCACACCTATGCATACACGCAAGACACTTGCAATAGTCGTTTGTGTTGCCACCAGGACAGGTCCTTGATGCTAAAATCAATAGATACTATATGCAGATGCGATTCCGAAAGTTCGATAGTTCTTGGTACGAAGGAACTATTAGCAAAAGGGATTATTAACGAGCAACGTCTTCCAAATGTTCCTATTGTTCATCTTACAAAATACGATTGAAATATTCGGATCGATAATTATTCTTTCTGAAGTACGAACAATAAAAAGAGAACAAATGAAACAATAGGTTAAGCTATTACCGAAATTAATAGAAAACCTATTGGTTAGATTGATTTTTGTACGTACCAATGATTACGAGCTTAAAAATAATCTTTTGATAAGATTAAATTGACGAAAAGAAATAAAAAGGGAGGGATTGAAATAGAGACAGAAAAAATATTGTCATAGTTTTCTTCTTTTCAGGAAAAATTTCAACCGCGCTGATCTTATCAATTTATTTACTTATTTATTTATGGGATAAACCCATTTTTACATAAATTTAACAAAAATATGAGGTAAAATAGGCAAATAGAAATAATAAATGATTAAACAATTGATCGATAGAGAGAATAATTGGATCAAAGATTCCATCATTGCAGAAAAACCAGAGTTAAAGGAATATAAGGAATGAAAGGGAAAAATGATATCCTTCCCTTCGTAATCGATGAATTGTTCTCTGTCTTTTTATAAGAAAGGGTTAATGACTCTCGTAGCGTCTGACATCGTTTTCTACTTTCCCGTTTCACGTGTCCGAGGTCCTGTTTGCCCTGGAGACTCGATATTTCGAAACATTCCCTTTGCCTTCGGTAAAATGAGCAAAAGGAGAATGATGTATCGATAACGGACAAACTTTCGAAGTAAAAAAAGCTCCCGGCCAATGATAAAAATCAAATTGGTTGTTTTATACTTTTTTTTCGGTTCCTCGAGAGAAAATGATTGTTCTTCTTTTTCGGAAGAACTTTCAACAAATTAGAATTCAATGTTTGTTCGAGGTACGAAATAAAAATAAAATATAGGATTGTTTTAATCATGGGATAAGAATAAAGTAATTCAAATTGGATAAAAATGATTTCTTACCATTCGAGGAAATTCCATAGGCACGTGAACATGTTGCAGATCGTGCTTAATACAACGCATGGAAAGAAAATTGTCGTGGTACTCGACTTTTTGTTTTGTTCTCCTTCTATTTCGCTTTCTTTTTATCCTCGTTCTTCTCTTTCATTCTCCACGTTTTTCAGCGCAAGAGCAGACACAGCCCAGACGGTGGATGGATTCTTTGAGGGTTGTCTGATCTTCACCACATTTCGTTCTCTTACATTTTCAGAATACCTTCAGACACATCTCACCAATTTTCTCGGGATTTTTATTTACGAATAACTCTAAAGGAAACTTTTCGTTCGTTCCAAAATATCCATCCGACAAATAAGATTGTTTTGCAGCATGGCGTTGTTTTGATTATTCTAACAGGATTTTCATTAGATTTAAAAATAACTCGACTCGATTGTCTACAACATTCGAAAAAGTAATGAAATTTGTTGTGCAAAAAACCTTGTCGTAACTTTGTGTTGACGTTGACCTAATACAAGTTTAGCATTAGTAAACCGGCCACCGCAAAATTCTATATCCCCGCGTAACGTAATTCACAAAGGTTCTAACGTAGTGGTTTTCAACGTGTATAATACGCGTCGTATATCGCACCAGAGAGATAACATATTTATTATATTCTATTTACTGACGTTGTACGCGAGATACAAATTTCGGTCGAAATTTTCAAACTTTTCGCAACTACGGAATAATTTGCCGAATAAAATAGAATAATGGAAACATTTTAAACAAATTTAATCAATCATTTCTTCAAAGAGAAATAAACGAATTTAGAAAAAGTTGATGCATTATTTTTTCTGAAGAAAAATGATAGTTTTTTGATAGAAATAAGCGTTATCAAGTTTAGTGTCATTTCTGAGTACAACTGAGAACATTTCAAATCGTATGAGGAAAAAAAAGAATCGCGGTGCTTATTTTCGAGCACGCTAGACGAACGATCGACAAGGTCAACGATGCACCCCTTTGCATCCCCAACACTCCTGCCCTTCTAACATCAACTTATTCCATATTTTTGTTCAACCCTTTTCATTTAACCAGCTTCCAAACTAAAGAAAATGAAAACCTTTTGAAAAATATTCTCTACTTTCTCATACAATATTCCTACAAATAAAGTTTGTAGAAATATTCGAAAAGATTGTATTCTCGATCGGTCAAAAATAAAACGAGGAAGAGAAGAAAGAAAATATACGAACACTGGTTGAAAAGGTTTCAATTGCAGGCTGAAGAAAGATGGTGGTGAGTGGAAAGGGTGAAAGAATGTGAACAAAGGTTTGGTTTAATGTACGATTAGGTAGTTCCTCTGGAAGGAAGAGAAATAGCCATAAGGGATAAAGCTCGAACATAAATTTGAAAGGTCGATTTCGATGGTTGGTTGGTTGGTTGGTTGGTTGGTTCGTTGCTCTCTCTGGTACTCGCACACTCGCGTCACTTGGCGTGACACGTCAAGTTCATCGATTCGCAAACTTTCCACGTCTCGATTCGCTAATGCTAGCCACCCTTCACGATCCTTCTTCTCAAAAATCTTTCATTTCTTATCGTCATCGTATCAAAAATGAACCAAAGTGACACCAAATTTCGCTAAATTAATATTAATAATATCTGAAGAGACAATTATTTCTATTCTATTTCTAACGACAAACTTTCATTATGAGAAAATCAAATGATATCCGAGAATAAAACAATTAATTTCATTCTTTTAAACGCAATTATTTCAAATAATAAATACACGAATTCAATTAGAGAGAGAACACTTTGTTCAAATTATAAAATAAAATGAATTGTTTAAAGTTGTATATTAAATTAGATATTATTGAAAATGGGAGGATTTTTGTAGACTTTTGGGCGTGCGGAAAGGAATGAAAATGCCGGGGTTGGCCGGCTCGTAACGCGTCGAGAGCAAAACTGGCATGCGCCTTCACCCTACGTTTCGATCCCCCTACCACGAGCCCCCTCCACCCCCTTCAACCCTCATCCATCTCTCTCTCTCTCTCTCTCTTTTTCGTTGCACGTTTCAACCCTCGTGGCGCCCCCTTGGAAATTGCCGACGGCGCATTGTCCTTTACCACCCGGGTGCCTTACTAGCCCCCAGCCCCAACCCTCCGAACCTAGCCCTTTGGATATCAGGCTGATGCCCTTTGTGACACTGAGAGAAATAGAAATTAGAGAGAGAGAGAGAGAGAGATAGGACCTAAAGAATACGAGAACTATTACGCAATTTGCCCTGGGCATCCAGATAAGAGAATTAAAGGAACATTAAATTATCCCTGCTTCCTGTATCCTCCTCCTTTAACTGGAAACACGAGTTTATCAGCGTATTCGTTTGTCTGTTTCTCTCTCTTTCTCTCCCAGCCACCCCCTCTCGCTGCAGATACACATCGCGTTCGTCATGATCGATTTTAAGAGAATTCCCCCCGTCCACTAGCCCCTACGTATCTAGAAATACGTTGTTGCTAATAATTTTGGATATTCATAACGTCGGGTGAAGAGAAATTTCAATAAGGGGAACTTTGAGTTATACCTGCGAGAAGAAACTTCACGGACTCCTTGTAAACTACGGCGCTAATTACGAACGGTATTTCAAGAAGCCGTGTAAAATATGCTAAGAGATACGCCACTTTCTTCCCGTCCGTGATAATTATACCCCCAATTCACCCCCAGACGTTTTCTGCCATCATCTAAATAAATAAATAAATAAATAACTCTAATTACACGTGAGATATAATTTTAGGATTAGTTTTTGATAGATGATGATAATAATAAATTGGATAAAATGTTTAGCGAGTTGAGATAAAGGTAAATGTGCCCCCCCACCTTAAAGAGGACAATACTTTTTGATAACTCACAATTGCGTCATCTAAATAATTAAATAAATAAGTCTAGTTACACGTATAAGGGTAGTATTTTAAGATTATTTTTCGGTAGATGATAAAAATATGTTGGATAAAATGTTTAGTTAGTTTTTTTTCTGTATTTTTGTAGAAAAGGTAAGTGTTACTTTAAAGAGTACAATTCCTTGTTGGTAGCTGAACAAAGAACACTGCATACTCGATCGAGCGTGAAGTTGGAGGGTGAACGAGTAGGGGGAAAACAGATGAATGAAAGACACACTGGCCACGTTGCTACGAGGTACGTTGCTACGACCCTTTTCGCAGGGAGACAACCGATTAACCGAAGGAAACCTGGAAGAATGAACGACGCGACATATCGGCTTGAAGAAACCATCTCTCTCGTGTGATAAACAATTCCATTAAAGGGATGCATCCTAACGAGCCTCGGAAAGTATCGTCACAACATCTAAAATAATACTTTTCTCTGAGAACTTTAAACAATCTCAGCTAATGGAGGCTACTTATCATCTTACTCCTATTTAAAAGTTTCGATAATCAGCCTAATTTGGAAACCTTTAGGTTAGGTTCGCTAAAGATTTATCATGGAAACGAGAAATCATCATCTTACTCCTATTTAAAAGTTTCGATAATCAGCCTAATTTGGAAATCCCTGGGTTAGGTTCGCTGAAGATTTCTCATGGAAACGAGTGTTATCCCTTTAACTACTTTCGAGTGCTCGTTAACTAAACTTTCATCTTGTTTTCATACCAACTCGGAACCATTGTACTTTCGTTATTATCATTGTTATGAATTTCTTTTTCTGAAAAAGGTTGTAAATTTTCCTGATGCCATTGGGGGACGGGAAGCCTAAAATCAGTTGTTTGTTTGTACGTACCTCGGATGCAAAGCGCAACCGCGTTGCACCGTAGGATCGACGCTCGACGATGATGACGGCGATGATGCTGGTGATGCTGGTGGTGCCGATACCGATGATGATCGTAGGCCTGCTGCAGAACGATACGAGACCGGCAACGTTGCTTCATGTCTGCCCGAATGACTACCTCGATGATCGCGAAAATTACTCGGAGAAGTCCCAGTCACCTGACAATGCGACCTTGGTTGCCCACTGAAACGACAACCAAGAGATTAACTTATTTTTTCGACATTCATTTTGACAAATTGCATTCCACCTTTAGCATCCTTGCACATCCTTACACGAAGTGGATAAAACTAGAGATTTCTGACTTATTGAACACGCAGGTTGTCATTAATGAGAAGAATTAAATAACAAATTTGTTGTTTGACAAAATTCCATGTTCAAATGAACGAAATCTTTTGCAAAAGTCACCCTACGAATGGGGTGTTTGCTTATCGACTGTTGAAATAACAAAAAAAGGAAAGTTCAGCAGTGTTGAGTACTCGTATCGGGGCAAGATAAAACAGGAATCTTCGATGTCGACGCAATTTTCCCTTTACGTAAAAGAAGAAAGAGACGCGTTACTTTGTTGAAAATTCTTTACGAGAGTTGGGAATCGGTTGAAAGTGTTTGCCATTTAGCAACGGTACACCCAACGGAAGTTCTCATCGCACCTGCTTACAATTACGAGGAAAAGGAATCAACACCTTTGTTGCACCGATTATCACATCTGCTTGTTTACTGTCTCTAACGGGTGATCAACTTTTACATTGTTCAAATAAAGAACTAACGTTATAACCTAACCGTGTTGTAAAACTACAAGCAAATACGGCCCACTGTTCGTATTTAAACAAGATTAGAGTATATGGAGATGGGGGAGGAGGTCTAAAGGATGACAACATGCAACGCACCGAATCATAGACTGGAACACCGACACTGTGAGACCGGAAGTACCACAGGGGGCTCCTTCGCAACGGTTATTCTTATCTCCAGCTCAACTAATATCTGAGCTACGTTTACGAGTTTACTTCTTCTTCTTCTTTCTCCTTATCATTTATCAAAAAGATAAGAAGATGAACGAAGTTTCGATATAAAACGTAATCGGAGCTTAAAAAAGAAGTGACCGAACAGGAATATTCGAATAACCGTAAAATATTTAACGTGATTTCTTTTTCAAATTTCACATGATATCCGAAAATAAGAAAAAGAAGACAAAAGTGTTAAATTCGGCGAATGGAAAGTAGGAAAGAATAAACAACGATGATAGTTTGGGTTAGAAAATAAGAGGAATGTATGACACAGAGAAAGAGAGAGAGAGAGGATGGTTCGTGAAAGATGATTGGATAGGATGAATCATCGAGTATACGCGAGTACACCTGCTGCATACGATGCGTATGATGCGATGAGGAAGGACAAGCACGTCGTTGTTCGGGAAATGTTGGAACGCGGTTGTAACGCGAATTGAAACTTGACTGGGTTGTTACTTTGTTGAACGCACGACATTGAAATGACGATGCAGGAAGTGTGTAGTCGTGATTGACAGTTTTTCAGTAAATAGATGAACAAAATATTCCCAATCGTCGAAAGAAAATATTTGCTAACAGGAACTTAGCATAAAAAAGTTAGAAAAAGGTGTTCCGGTTGATGAACACGTGGGAGCAAGAAACTTCGCCAGTGGTTACCGATTTTATGTTGTTATACCTGGTGACGTTGTTGCTTTTGAAACTGACCATTCTCGTCCCGATGGAATATTCTCTAACAGAAGCACGTTAATTTTCGCAAACACACACATTTCTTTCTCAATTCTGCACACTCTGTTATTATAACTTTTAGGTTAGCTCTCATATTCGTTGAATCAAGCAATGCACCACCCACTTGAAAAGAAAACAAAACAAAAGGAAGTGTGTTGTCACGTGTCGACAAAGTTTTAACAAAGAAGAACGTGCATGAGTCGAGTTAAGAATTCTCGCTCGGCGTTTCCGGGCCGACTGAAGAGACGGTAAAGCTTCGACTCTAATCCGTTCCCACCACCATGACTTACCACCACCTATCTTTCTACTTATGAGACTAGGGAAGGGCGAGGTATAGGTCGACGAACGTGTCCATTTTTCTCCCCATGGGCGACGCGTCTCCGATGACACGGGGGCCCCCCTTACCCGCTTAACTATACCTTTGGTTGTCCATCTTTAGCTGTCCATCTTTAGCGTAGATTCTTTTTGTTTTTTCTTTCTAGATACGTCATCATCTAAAATACCAAACTATAACCGCATTCTTTTAAGTATATTTTTCTTATCCGATTAAATATCAAATATCGGTTTTTATATGTGTAAAAGACTCGTAGTTTGAATAAAGATGGCGTTATGTTACGTTATGATATGCATCGTTGCATACACATACATAATACATTTGTTTTAACACGTTGTTTAGTGGCACACACACTCAATTGTTATTTAAATATTAAGTGCATCCCCCCCCCGTGGCCTTACGGGGATTTATTTAAGAATTCGCGCAGTGTTCAATGTGTTAACAGTATTATTTAATAAATATTTGACGGAAATGAATCCCAACAATCTCAACGATGCAATTTACAAGATTACTGTACGAACGTCCCGCTAAATGTTTTCAAATTTTTCTCTTGGAAAATTGGGTCAATTTTCAAGAAATTCGAATGGAATTCGAATAGAAATATCTGTTTTAAGTATCGCAGATACGTCACATCAGTGGATGTTATTGTACCAACGGATATACACTATACTGACCATAACACAACCCACAAACGTTGGTGTCCTTCCTCTCTCTCTTTCTCTCTCTCTCTCTTTCTCTTTCTCGTTGGTATGGATGGAACTCTTGAACCGTAAATACGAACCGCCCTGAACGAACAACGAAGCGAATGCATCCTATTTCCTTCACCAATGCAACGACGAATAATTGTTGCAAATGATATTTTTCAATCTGACAAAATATCATTTTTCAATTGTTAATTATTTTCCTATAACAAATCTTTGTCGTGTATTTCATAACTTCAATATTATATATATAATTTATGCTATGGTTGTCTAATTTTTCCAAACACTATGGGATTAAAAGTGTCCCATCTTTTTGATGCACCGTAATGCCCGGTAGGATATTTTTAGTTTCACCTTGAAATATTGCGATAACTGCATGAGTCCCACCTTATAATTCAATTAAATTATTACTATTTTATTATGTTTTACATTATTAATTAAACAATACCTATTTTGATTCATTTAAACGTCAATAAAATGTTTATGCAATATTAGGCTATTTTATTATCCGAAATCTTGTTCAGCAAACAGTTGAAAAATCTTAAAATTGTATCGACAAATTGTGGATTTAAGAAAAAGGTCGAATTGAACAAGAATTTCTTCTTCTTTTACCTCCCCATTCCCCTCCCCCACAGTTTCATCCTTTCTTCCTGTCTTCCTTTCTTCCCGTGTTATTGATCGTTTCTTTTCAAAGGAAAAAATTTCAACGAAGTAAAAATTCGAAGACGAAAAGTAAGAAGACCGATGTGGGTTGTAAGATATGACCAAAAAAAATCTCTTATTTTTGCGTGCAACGTACCGCGTCAACGTTTTCATTCCCATCGTTCCGAGAACACAAAGAACTTCCGCGAGAAAAAAAGGACGGGCCTGAGGAAGCGGTGGTAACAAATAAATGACAATCCCAATTTATTCAACGTATTATTCTTTCTTAAAGTCGAGAAATTGTTATTATATAATAATTGTTAGGAATATATAAGCATTGAGTGATTCTCCGATGCCTACTCGATGCCCACTCGATGCCCACTCGATGCCAACCAAGAGCCAAGTGTGTCACGCACATGTTTCAAACGTGTTTCAAACGTGTTTTAAATTCTCGACAAGAAACGGCAAAGCCACTAATCGAAAATATTCTTACCGCCACGTGTCTACCCATCTTGAAAAATAAAATAAAGATAAAGAAGGAGAAGAAAATTTAACAAACAAATTTTCAAGCATCACTGCAAACCCTATTACAACGATTACCTTATCACCGAATTTTTTTTTGGGAATGAAACACCAGTTTCTCTATTTCTTCCTAATAATACGAATATTTATTTAATTAGTATTATTAATTATTATTTTTATAAATTACTCGCCTTTTTTACCTAATCTTTTTCGGTTAAATTTACGCACAAATGGGTTTATCTTGTAAATAAATACAAATAAAACTAAATAAATTATTTTATATACGCAAGAGAGTATATCTCGTGATCTGGATTTCTTTTTTCCACTCGAGGAGTGACGAGGGCGGTGTTGGGGAGGGGTAGGGGACTTTCGTTTTTACAAACAGTTTCGAACGCACGATTGTATCCGTGTCACGGAGTGTACGTAAGTACTTACGTTCTCCTTTACGTAAAAACAAAAAAAGGAAAAAAGGAAGAAGAAACCTCTCGTCCTCCGTAAAAGTTTGTACGATCGAAAGTACTCACCGTTTCGGTGCAGAAACTTCCACGGCTAGGCCAAACGAAATTGTCTCCAGACGACTATTTATTTCGCAACCTAGACTCTCTCTCTCTCTCTCTCTTTCTCTTTTTATCTATCTATCTTTATCGGTGGTAGACGCACGAGGATTTTTCTACCAACTCAATTCCCTCCAGGGAGAAACTTATTTTACTCTCTAGTTTTACAGAAAAGAAAAAGAAAAAATGGAGAAACAAATTGGCGAGTAAAAAATACTCTTGCTGCATATTTTTTTTGTTTTATCCTATAAAATATAAACCTGTTGAGACCAAAAAAAAAAGTGTGCATATATTACATTTATTATTTCTACTAAAACATAGTAATGTTTGTTGAAAATTTCGTTTGATATTTGTTTGAATTCGTTTATGGGTGCAATCTTATGATGACGCTTGACGCTGATTTTTTGCATCAAATTAGGGCTCTATCTAGCTGAAATAAGTTGAGTTATATCCAGCAACAAAAAATGAAAAGTCCCTAACAAAGAGCTCGTGCTCCTTGTATACAAATGGGATATAAAAATAAGAGGGCACTAGTGTTTTATTTGTACTAAAATGGAAGGAGAATAAGGCTGCAGTTTGAAATAGAAATAATAATACGAAACTGTAAATATAATAGTAATATAATAAATAGTAACAGTAATAATCGGTACGTTACTATATTCAGAGCAGTACAAAAGGAACATTAGCCACAAATTTTGGCAATTAATATGTTTGAATTCATGCTCCTTGTGTAGTCTGCATGATCCCTAATCTCATTTTTAATATTATTGTCATAATTATCATTTATTTCATATATAATCAAATATTTTCATCCTACAAGAGAGTTCCATTGCTTTTGTTTGAATTTTTAGAAATATATTATTTAAATAAGAATTATTGTTGTATGTTAAATGTTTTAAATTAAATTTATTTTAAGGTTATGTAATATATTTTATAGTTGCTGAAAGAAATCCCAATAAAGGAACGAAACGTTCAACAAGATCAAAACATAACGTTCTGATTTCTGTTTTACCTTGTCCAACTTCCCCGTGATACATTTATTATTAAATTTATTTATTAATAAACAATACAGCTATTTTCAGCTTGCTAATGTCGATTATTTTAATTCTGAATTATTTATGCACAAGCCTGAGAATGAAAAGCTAATTTGTGTTTAACTTTTTACAATTTGACACTGAAAATCAGTGTCAAGGGTCAGCATGGGGTTAAACCCTTTCGATCTCTGAGACGTAAAAGCAAATTTCACGAAAATAGATATGGGTGCATAAAGGGTTGTTCAGCGAAGAAACGAATTACTATGCAGAATACGTTTTCGGTTTTTTCGTGATATCACGGTATCGAACATTTTATCGTCTGGAAATGAAATAAAGAAAGAAATAAAGTATACATACTAATGCACTATTATAGGTATATATATATATACTTAAAGAGTTAGTTTTTTTAATCCAGACCATAAGAATGGCCAATTGCTATTCTTTTTAACGGCGTCGCAAGGTTTCCACGTGAAACCATAAGGTTGCAGATGGAAATCGTACGATCGACGTACGTAAGACGACACGCGACTCGTGACTCTGTGAACAAAAAAATTTACGACTTATTACAACGAGAAAGTAATCCCAAAAAGAAACAAACATCCCGTTAATCATTTACCATACGCAAATGGACCGGATCCGGTCTGGATGAATTTGATAATCCGATGAAAATAATCAAGTTTGTTTACTTTATTTGTTACTTTCTTTAAACAAAAAGGGTTTGCATTGTTTCGAACAAAATTCTGTAGATCCAATTGTGTTTGAAATAATTTTGTCTACAAAAATTATCTTCAGAGGTGCAAGAAATCAATAAATTCAAGTTAAATGCATAAAGAATTGAACCATCAATTGATTCTTACAAATATAATTTTTGTTAATCGATTTGTTTATGGTAAATACGAAGAAAAAAACGAGAGGAAACGTTTCCCTCCGATTCATATGAGAGATATATATTTGGCAGAGATTTAATTACCACACGGAAACGAGGGTGAATCGCGAAGACCGGAAATTAATAAATATTTGACCGGAAATTTCCACCTGTTTCCCAACAGGTCTAACTGGATCGAAGCAGATGGTTCTCTTTCTCTCTCTCTCTTTGAGTTTCCAACGACGAGAGTTTGCTACCTAACCGATGTGTTATCGTCATAATGGAACAATGAAATTTGCTAGGCCAACATTAAGATATTTTTTATTCCATACAAATACAAAATGTATGATCGTTGAAATTTATTTGTAATGCAAATTAATTTTCTTACTTTTATTCGGGAAAAAAATCAGGAGTGTTCGATATATGTATTAGTAAGATTTATAATAAATTATTTGAACAATTATAAATACAATTTGAATCCTATTTTACTTAATCAAATTATATCTTTTATAATATACAAGCATTATAAAGAAACAATGAAATACATAAATAATATATAATTTAAACAAGAAATAAAGTTGATTAAAATCTAAAGGTGTGCACAGTGTGTTACTTTGAAAATTCGGTTTGTTTGTGTACGTGCACCTGATGAAAAAAAAAGAGAGAGGGGAATAAAACATAAAACGCATCGCACAGCAGAGCCGCTTACGCAAAAGCAGAGTTGTACCAGGCGAAAGCCGGAAGTGCTGGGTCAAGGTAAGACGTTGCCTTATTCTATAGGACGTTCCTATCGACGATTATGATCTAGGATGATTCAACGGGTAAAAAGGTACGAAAACAAAATAGACGAACAACAAAAATCACTGCTCTCTCTTCCTGTATTCGACGAAAAATTTCCCTTCCCCTCTCCTCTCCTGCGTACGGCTTTTCACTCTTCCTCTTCTTCGTATTTTGTATAATGGCAATGTAACTGCAGTTGAATGCACGATCAAATTCTTTTTCTTCCACAGTTAATATCCGTGGTATTCATCATTTTGATACGTGAACGGATAAACAATTTGTTTTCTTGACGAATCATTTCAAGATCAAACTCATTTTCATTTTAGTATTCCAGTTTTGTACTCATCATCAGTTGCATAGACATACGTGAAATATTTGATTGATTCAATTATTATAATATAGAATATTTTAAAAATATTTGAAAAAGGTTTTAATATCCGAAGAAAAAACTAAAATCTTATATCGTTTATCCCCTTTCTTTTTTTTTCTGTAAACGAACGTGAAAACACTTAGGAGGGAAAGTAAATCTCACGACGAACAGATGCTTGCGGTGACCTGATATCGATAATATGAAACTTATTCTTCTTCTTCTTTTTCTTTCGTCGATGAAAAATAATGTAAATTATGCTACGAGAATCTGCGATCGGCAGAGAAAGGGCCGTAGACGTTGCTTCGTTTCCTAAATCCCAAAGGGTTGTTATCGTAGCAAACATTATCAAACTATTCCAGAAAATGTTAACACGCATTCCGATATTATTTTATCTATTCTTGTTTTCTCATCGACGTTACTTTAAACAAATCTTTTTCGCGAATAAGTAAACGCAACCGATACCAGCGTGTACTTGTAAACTATTTTTATCTGCAATCGTGCTTCGTATAAAAACAGAAATAAAATATTATCGATCGTTGGACACGACTCTATTCAACGACGATGAAAACTTTTATTATTATTGTCGTTTTGTAATAATAAAAAAAACTAATATTATACATGTCTATATGCACTTTCTTATGTTTACCTAACATATTCGATTCCCATACGAATTCGCGGAAGGACGAACGTTTACGAGGATGATAAAAATCATGATCGTATTCCCTTGACAATAACAAAAATATAAAAGGCAATAATGCGAAACTACGCGGCAATTCTAAAACTAAAAATATGACTTTAAATAAAAATTCTTACGCAACGCGCAGAAAAATATACGCGAAAAGATATGAGAGAAGACGGATAAGCAAGAAAGTTTCTCTGACAATGAGCTCGATTTAAAATCGTGCCTTGCTTGAAAAATCTCGTTTCACTTCGCGTACCGTTAACTCCATTGAATTTAGGGGAATGCGATGTTTTTACACATTCATTTTCTCTTTTTTTTAATTAACCTACTAGAAAATACAATTTGAATTGACCCACGTTAAATGGGGAAACAATATTGTATTTATTTTGTTGTCTGAATTGTTAGTCAAATTATTGAAAAATATGTTCCCAAAGTTTCGAATAAAAGTTCTAATGTTACGAGCTGTTAAAGTAAATTTGAATTCTCATTTATTTCGGATGAAAACTGTGGCCACCGATGAGTGACAACTGAAATCTTTCATATTTTCAATTTTCAAAAACTACAATATTTTATTGAAGTTATACTTATTTTGGTGCATTGAAAGTGAATTTTTACGATGCGCGCGCACAGCAACGCGAAATTAACAGGATGAAGTTAGTTGTTAGTTAGGATGCGCGCGCACACCGACGTGAAATTAACAGCACGATATTAAATATAACAGTGAATATAAAATATGAATATAAAAAAAAGGCTAAAAAATAAGAAAAAAGGTTCGATAAAACGTTGAAAAAAAAACAATGGACGATCTTAAAAACCGAAAAAAA